CGCCCAGGGCCGGGAGCTGCGCAGTGCCCCTTAGAGCTGCCATCAGGCACCGTGCGCCCAGGGCCGGGAGCTGCGCAGTGCCCCTTAGAGCTGCCATCAGGCACCGTGCGCCCAGGGCCGGGAGCTGCGCAGTGCCCCTTAGAGCTGCCATCAGGCACCGTGCGCCCAGGGCCGGGAGCTGCGCAGTGCCCCTTAGAGCTGCCATCAGGCACCGTGCGCCCAGGGCCGGGAGCTGCGCAGTGCCCCTTAGAGCTGCCATCAGGCACCGTGCGCCCAGGGCCGGGAGCTGCGCAGTGCCCCTTAGAGCTGCCATCAGGCACCGTGCGCCCAGGGCCGGGAGCTGCGCAGTGCCCCTTAGAGCTGCCATCAGGCACCGTGCGCCCAGGGCCGGGAGCTGCGCAGTGCCCCTTAGAGCTGCCATCAGGCGCCGTGCGCCCAGGGCCGGGGGCTGCGCAGTGCCCCTTAGAGCTGCCATCAGGCGCCGTGTGCTCAGGGCCGGGGGCTGCGCAGTGCCCCTTAGAGCTGCCATCAGGCGCCGTGCGCCCAGGGCCGGGGGCTGCGCAGTGCCCCTTAGAGCTGCCATCAGGCGCCGTGCGCCCAGGGCCGGGGGCTGCACAGTCCCCCCCATAATCCAGCCCTGTGTCCAACACAAAAGGTTTCAATGGTTTTTTTTATTTACGGCAGGAGTGGGGAAGCTTTTTTGGGTGGGGCGCCAGTGATGCACAGGAAAAATCAACTGGGGACCACACAAGTGAGAAGCAAACAAAACTCCTCCAAAATCCCCCAGCCCTCACTGATGTGGCCCCACCTGACACAGCTCACTCCTCTGGATGAGGGGAAGGGACAGGAAGGACCGAGGTTCAGGGCTTCCCACAGGCCAGATTTACTTTTCTGGGGCTCTGGAGTCAGTGGATTTTGTGGACCTCCTCAGGCTCTGGGGTGAGGACAAAACCAAAGGGCTCAGTGTGTGGGACAGGACTGCCAGCGAGTGGGATAGGGATGCAGGATCTGGGTGGATGACGCAGAAAAGGTGAGAGGGTGAGAATGCAGCCAAATAGCTAGCTGAGGAGGAAGGCAAAGAAGTGGGGAGTAGAGGAAAGTGGAGCTTCGGCAAAATAAAATTGTATCCCCCAAATATCTTCCTTCTGCTCCAGCCTTGCTCTCCCCTGCCCCATGATCTCTCCAGTCTGATTCCCTGCATCACCCCGTGCCCCTCAGTGCAACCCTTGCCCCCACATCCTCCTTCACCCCTCTCACCCCACATCTCTGGGCCCCCAGCATGCACACCAGGAGGGCAGCAGCACTGGGACTTGCAGCCCCCCCAGAAGGAGTGCTAGAGTGAGGAGGGACCAGGGGAGACAGAGTCACTTCCCTGCCCGGCCCAGCCCTTTGCTGGGGATCACCCCACACCTGCAGGCTCCTGCTTTGGGGCTGGGGTGGACAGAGCCCAGGGCTGCTCAGGGCTGGTTCAAGCCCAGACACACACAGTGGGGCACTGGGGAAGGGGCTCCCTGCCCCCTCACACACCCCATGGGGAGCAGCATGGTGCAGCCTAGGTCCCGGTGCCCCACAGAAGCAGCAGCAGATTGTGACCGACCGCCCAGCCCTGGAGCTGCAGAGCAGAGCTGGGAGCAGAGCCTATAGCAAGGGAGGGTGTTAACCCCTTAGCTCCTGGGAGCTGCATGTCCAGGCTGGGCAGGGGCAGTCCCAAGGATGCAGAGCCGAGTGCGGGGTCATGCTGTCCACTCCACTTGCCAGGCCACCCTGGCTTTTATGCGCCCATGGCTCTCACCCCTCCCCTGCTTGCCCTTTCAGCAGCAAGCCAGAGCTGGTTCTCCAGCCTTCCGCTGA